TATTATTCTATGTTTTTTAAGATTGACTTAGCACACATTCCGATTTTTACCCGTAAATATATCATATTATAAATTTACATATTAAGTTAATTCTTATATTAATAATTAATCTAAACTAATACATTTTTTTAATAGTATACGATTTATAAGTCACTATATGTCTATTAAATTTATATTTATATTTAATAGCTGCTCTTTATACATATAATCGGATTTTTTTGTTTGTGTCCAATAGAAATTTTATAAAATATCTATTTAATTTCTTTGGAAATGACTTAAGATAAATAAAATAAAATATTATTTTATTTTCTCAATATATTATTATAGAAATGTAAAAAATGTAATTCTGTAATTATATGTATATTGATCAATATTTACCTGAGTGTGACCCGCAGCATTTAGAGTTAGATTGCCAAGTCTAAAAAGCAAGTTGACGCTGTGCCAGACGTTATTGAGTAGTCTGGCGTTTAGTCTGGCTCGATACCTCTGCTGATCAACGACAGCCACGAAGAGCAGTCCCTCGGGTGTCACCTCGAGACTGATCGAATTGTCATCGTACTTCTGTAGAAATAGTCGACCGGGATCGCACGTGCGGAAGCTGAGGCCACTGTGACGGTGCACCGAAACGAAGGAGTTCAATTTCAGGAATGCGGAGCCGTTGAAATAAGCCTCGCGAGGATGCTCCTCGTAATTTTGATGTTTCAGATTTTGGGGCGCTTCGTGAGTAAGAGCCAACAAAGTGGCCAGAACTGTAACAGAGATAAAACTCCATTATGAAGTTTGATGATATAGGTTTTTAGATATTATGGTAATAATGTTCACTTATAGAATTACAGCATTACAGATCTCATGGTTTTTATGAATCATTAACTGTTTAGTTCATGGATTCTGATAACTATTTTGTCTCATCGTGATTCTTAATTCTTGGAATATTATTATACAAATAAAATTAAATATAATGTAAGAAAAATTATTTTATTTTAATGTCTTAATTAATAAAAATCCAACAGAAATTTTTTTATATGAGAGAACAAACTATATATCGCAATATACTTGTAATTTCAATTATTATCATAATCTTCTAAACATATGGAACAAATTAAAGAGAGAGAGAGAGAGAGAGGCGGGAGGGGACAAATCTAAAACAGAGGGAAGAGAAACTACTTTATGTTTTCACTCTAATTTTTATTATCGGTTATAGCCGAGATATGTCACAAAGTAGGTGCTGACACATGCATTATCAGTGACAGTGTTTAACCTTTAGTTGCTTGTACAGCAGACAATCGATGGACAAACTTTTTAACATTTTTATAGCATTAGCTTTTGTTTTAATTAATTTTTTAACGTTAAAAATAAAATATTATTTCTATATATTGTTTTACATCTTTTTTAGAACTCGTTTGATATATTAATTTTATTATTTAATTTAAATTTAATTATGATAAAATGAAAAGAAAGTGTTTCAGATCCTTTATAAATATATTAAATCCTTTTAACTTTTAATATTTATTATTGGTCGATAAAGCTACTCACTCAAGTCACTCTCCGAAACGAGCTCAGCATTTATGAGTAATTTTTGCTCGCGAGAAAAGAAAACGATTTATCACCGCAAGCATACGCGTGTTACATAACGCCTCTCTCTCTCTTTCTCTTTCTCTCTCTCTCTCTCTCTCTCTGCGTGCCATTATCTTCAAGGATGAACTATGATTTTGTCATGAGCGCTTACGCGTGAGAAAGGACTCGTTCCTGTTCATTCACATGCATACTTTACATATGAGGAACCTTGGTCCCTAGGATATCGTTGATTCTTGATTATCTGCGTTCTTGTAAATAAATGCATTTCATAGATCCTTGACACAAAAAAATCTTATGTGTATTCTATTATAGAATCTTGATACAGAATTCCAGAATATAATCATATCATATGCTACAAAACTCTAGTAAAATTATATCCTTGATAGTACAATTTTGCGGAACCTTTTGTGTAATTTCTGATCTAGAATTTAAATTTTAAAAGAACCCATTCTCGTGAATGTCAAATGATGCAAACACTTGGATTTTCACTACTATATAGAGCTGCGCATTCATTTTTATTCTCGTGAAAGAAGGTGCGAAAAGATTTTCACCATACTGCGCGAGCATATTCTATTTTTTTCCGAGGAGGACAGTCAGTCGTCATCTAGCAAGTTATACAACTTTACAACGTTATATGTCACGTGCGAATAGAAGTCATGCATTATTTATTGGTCGGTTGCCATCAATCTTATTCGCTGTAAGTATAGTGCACTCAGTCGCAGATTTTGAGATACTGCAAAACTTGAAATTGTAGAACATTGACAAATGAGAATTTATTACCATGAAGTAAGAAATGTAAAGGTTATTAAGTAAGAGCTATGGACACAAAGATTAGGATATTATTATAAATTCATTGATTTTGAAACTCTCTCTTAATTTATCTATGATTTTAAAAATCTAATGGTTTAATTACAAGATCATAAATTTACGAATTCATGATCTTTAAAGAAGATATTGGTTCGTATATAGGTACTTGATGAGAAAAAATAAAAAGAACAAATTGTAATTAAAATATTTTCATATTCGTCATCACAAAAGTAAATTAATTATTCTAAAACAAGCATTTCAATAGAAATTGATTTTATTTGGAAACTCGAGTTTTATTGAACATTTTAATGTAATTTTTAGATAAAATTTTGATTAAAACAAAATTTAATCAAGACAACGGATATTCAAAAAGATATTAGATCGCGGATAATCAGATCAGAGAAATTGTAGTTACACGATTTCAATTGGAAATTTGTTCGACTATAAGAAATCCAGATTCAAAATTTAAAGAAACGTAGAATCAAGAAGCTATGAAGACATCATAACTCTCTCTCTCTCTCTCTCTCTCTCTCTCTCTCTCTCTCTCTCTATACGATTTCATAACATCCATCGTCTCAAAGATCTTCGTATAATTATTATACTTCATACATTTAAAAATAGATTCTTAATTATTTAAGTATAATTGTATTAGTGTTTGAGAATTTCGGTAAACAATATTATCAATCTGTAAGTACATCTCGTGCGAGTTTTTCCGCCATATACAGACATGTGATTCGAGAAACTCACGTTACATACTTGCCGTTACATACGTGTCTCGCATGTGAAATGTGTAAAACATGTAAACATAAACGGAGCTCCATAATCGGAGTTGCTTCAATGACGGAACTACCGGAAGTCGATCTTCCTGTATAGGACAAACGATGACGAGTCCGCTGCGTAGGGATTGCGCGAATAATCAAATCCGAAAAATTGTAAATTCACAATCCTTTAGAAATCTGTCACACAAATTACAAGAAATAAATTTCATAAAGAGATAGAATCAAGAATTATGATATCGTAAATTCAAAATCCACCGTCTTAAATACCTCTGTGTATGATTATTTGATGAATTAAAAAATGAATTCTTAATTATTCAAGCAAATCTTTTGACTTATCTTTATACCTCTACCCGTAAATTCGACTTTATTGCATCTAGATAAAAAAAAACAGACTGCAGTTGACAATTGCTAATTTCCTCGTATACGATTATTCTGAACATCGGCAAGTAAGTATAAACTGCGCGTTCAGCAGTTGAAAATAGAATGATTAATCCGTTAGTCTCATTACCCTATTTTTGTTTAATGCGATTGACGATTTGAGATATATTAAATGGTAGAAAGCCATGGAAATAACATAACGGCTTTCATCGTAGATCGGGAGAATCACCGTGGAGAACCGAAAAATACGTCCGAGTCCTGATTGGATGTATCGCGTTCATGACGAATTGCACACTAATGCAGTCCATTTGGAACGATTTGGAGAATTGCTGTTAGAAAGCATAACAACCTGCATGCATCATCCGTAAGGATACCACGGACGTATCCTTACGGGACACCTGCGAGACGACCGCAATCGCCTAAGAAAGTATGCCGCGTGTTTCAAGAATATTAAAAAAGAAGTACATCTACAATGAAAATAGAATGATTAATCCGTTAGTCGACTAATACCATTGAATTATAAGTTAATATGTAACCGGTCTCTTCATTTATGTCTAAAAAAACAATTGGTAACTGGTTCAATCTTGACAGTGTTTAGATTCGGTAATTTTGCGCTCAATGAACTTATTATATGTCGTTTAGAAGGATCGAGTTTGTAGAGCGAGCAATTTAATTGTAGGTACATGTCCTTTAGATTAAAAGATGCATAACGCGGCGTAAAAGATTCTCGCCGTGATAGATCAATGATGCAAAAATCTATTTATTAATTTTCCTACGATTTAACATAATACATAATTTTATAAGCAGCTTAAAAAATTTTTTAATTTAAAAAGATTTTTTGTTTTTTATTAGTTGTTCAGTATAATAATAATAAGCTTTAGTTGCGTAAACTCTGCTTCTTTCTCAAATTGATCAACAAGTAATAATATATGTAATAGAAATGCTGTATTGTCGCAATATCATCCAAATTTACATATTAATCAATGCAAAATAATATTGCGACACAAACTAGAAACATGAGTTTCAATTAAAACTTTACGTTTCACGAATTTTTCAATCCCAGAAGTGTTTATACATAGTATATTCATAGATGAATAATCTTTACACAAGAAAACAAGTAACGTAATCATAAGTCATGCCTTTTGGTCGCGATGGAATTTTTCACGAAGGTATAACGATATGCTCTCCCTGGCACAAACTACAGTCCACTTTCTCTCTGAATAGCTTGTCTCTTCTTCATTCTTTCAATTAGAACATGCAAGCCGAGATATATTCTTTATTATATTTCGTTTAGGCATGACGTGATCAAAAACGTGAAATATTATACTACTATTAATACTTTAGATAGGTAATGTACATACATATATGCATATGTACAAAAATATATCATGAAAATATCCATTAACAAATTACTTGAGCGAGTCGTCCAACTTTTTAATTTAACTTACTTATGTTAATCTAATTGAGACACGTCTCGAAATGCAATGTTTCCCGCGCAATGCAACAAAGAATATAATTATGCTTCGGCTTGACGAAGGCGTGGCAATTGTGAGTCAGTGGAATCGTATAACTCAGCTCTCGTAGGTGAATACCGACGAGTTCTGGAGTGTACTATAAAGTCCTAAGAACACACGATTTAGTAAGGTTGGTTTTATACGAAACCATTACGAAGCCATGCCGAGAATGAAGAAGAACATTTCTATGAACCACTTTGTTTTGATAAAAACCAATAATTTACTTGATGTACGCAATAAGTTAATTTTTGGCTAATTTTAATAGAAGAATTTGAATTAGAAGATAATCTATATATAAATATAATTTCTCGATATATAAGTCTTCACGTAATCGAAATATTGAAAATAAAATAAATAAAATCTTTGAATCATAAATGCAAATACCGATGGACCTTATATTAACAGAGAGTTCATCATTTCTACGAAATCGTTTCTTGGATAATATTTAATGAAATGTTCTTGATAAAACGCTTTGTTCACGAGAAATGAGTATTGATCTCGGGGGAAAGAAAGGAGAGACAAACAGAACTGCAACTAGAACAGAACTATTGCACGTGGCTACGGTCGAGTTCGTGTTGCAGAGCTTTCGGTTCACTGACACGTGGGAATTCAACGATCGCGTTATGTACGTGACCGACACGAATAAGGAGGTTCCTTTGTCTATTGCGAAATATAGTCACTAGTATCACATTATGA